CCCCGCCCAGCCGCTGCCCCCGCTGCCAGCTCCGCACCTCGTGCAGCTTTAACATGCACCAGCGTGCGGTTAGTGCCTCAAAATGGTTCAACTCCAGGAAACTGGAATAACGGCCCAGTGAGCGCTGCACACAGACCTCCCCCACCCCGGCTACTCGCAGGGCCTGAACCTGGAGACTGGTGCCAAAAGCATTAAGACCCAAGAGTTTTAAAAGCAAAACAGCAACAACATAAAACCAGGAATCCAAATGCCCTCATATAAGCAGATGCCTTTAATACCTGTCACCTCCAACCCTGCTAGCCACCCCCACACACTTCATAGTTGACCTTACCTTAAACAAGTCTGCCACCAGGCCAAAGTCTGCCACTTGGAAAATGGGAGCCTCCGGGTCCTTGTTAATAGCAACGATGGTCTGCAAGTGACAGGAGCGCGGCGTGAGTACGCACAGCCTGTGCCAGTGTTCAACCAGCACCAACACAGAGCCCAACTGGCCATGACAGCAGAAAAAAACACACCATTTACTAAAAAGGCCTTTCCCTACTCATAGCATAGACCAGTCTGGACTCTCCTTCCATCCCGGCTTTTTTTCCTTCCCCCTCCCTGTCACAGGTCATTTGACTCCCTGTAAAGCCCATGCTGTTCATGGCAGCAGGATGTGCCTACAGCAGCGTCCTGCTGCTCAGTGTGGCCCAGCCGCTGCTCCGGAATTGCTTCCCAAACGCCTTTGTTTTTATTTTGGTTTGTCCCTTTGGGAGCAGGACCCTCCTCTGGCCAGGAAGCCAAACCCAAGTTGTGATGCTGAAGCTCCTGACAGGAAACAGCTGCTTCTGTGTGGGCACTATCCACTCACCTGGAGCCCTCAGAGTCTCCCTCTGACCTGCTCCCTAACCTAAAGAAAATTTTTAGTGAGACCCGGGTTCCCTGCCCCAGCATTTAACCATCTACCAGGGTAAGAAACACACATGCACCCTGCCCACAGCAGAACATGGACAAGTTAAATCTCATAGAAAACAATGTAGCTCCCTCCTGGGGGAGGAAAAAGAAGGAAAGAAAGCAGCGACCCTTTCTAGGGCTCCTCAAAAAGCTTCATCTTCTACCTTGCTGTAAAAGGACAAATAAATTATACATTTCACTTGGTAGAACGCATCCGACTACTTTGGGAAGCGTGTCCAGGATTGTGCACATTCACAGCGCCGGCTCCTTCACTGCGCCCAGGGAAGACCGGGGGACCCCCCCCCCCCCCGACTTTCATATTTTTATGTTCCCATTAATTGGATCATTCAGGAACTACAAAACCTTTACGCTCTGGCTTTAAGCAAGCTGAACATTTGAAACACCAGTAAAACTGAAGGCCATGATACACCCTTTTCTTTAAAATAGAAAACAGGATGTATGGGAGAAATTAAAGAGTAAAGCCACTCCTATCAACACATCTCACCTGTCCTTACTTCATACAAAAGGCCCTTTCCTATCCCTCAGCACAGCATTGGAGAAGGCACCAAAGCCGATGTTTTACAACTGCAGCACTGCACAGTAAAGTTATAGAGAAGGAAATAATACACTTAAATGAGGGTCTTTCTCAGTATTGCTGGTGTCTTATCAAGGGAACGCAGGAGATGGATGCAAACAGGGTCAGGTCAAGTCCACAGCAGCGTGAAAGGAACGTTCTCAGTGAACATCTCATACTAATTCCCCTGACCGAAAACTCTTGCTGGAGTCGTGGCACCTAAAGGAGTCCTTAACACTGCAAGCACTGGCCACAGCAAAGGGTTGCACAGGACCCGAGGAGCTCCCAAATCCAGCGGGTGGGAATTCCCCAAATATCTGTGAGCTAAACACTAATCCAGAAAGAACTTTGTAAACGTTCTCAGCATGTGATGACCTGCCACATTAACACACTACAGTGTGTCAGGCAGGAAAGAAAATAGGGATCTGCATGTAAAGTTTGCAAACCTTCTTTGGAAAGGTTTTAACTGGGTGCTGAAACCAGGAACAAACTCATTGAAATTTGCAATGGGTTCCCTGAAAAGAGTAAGAAAGTCCTAAAGGCCGAAGTTAGCTGAGGGTGCTCAGGACAAGCCCCTGTTTTGTGGGGGAAGGAGATGCCTGGCGCTCAATACTGCGAGTCGGCAGGGACTCCTGCTCCTCCTCCCCAGCGCTGCTTTGTGGGTCACGCGCCAGCAGTTCCAATCTGCGATTAGCTCTTTTGGCAACCAATGAGTTAAACCTTTTAAAGTTTTACTGCCATTTTATAATAGGTTTCCATTTGAATGCCTAAATGCAGGAATGTCAGAGACATCTTTTACTTTATGGAATAGTAAGTTCATAATTCAAATTGCACATTGTTATGCATGAATTAATATGTCATATTCTGAAACAAATGCGAATGGAACTATTGTATAGAGTTCCAGCATTTTTTTTAAATAAAGTCAGTTAGTTTCTTCTTTTTAACACTTTGGCTCTTAGTGCAATAGTTTTTCTATTGTGTTAGATCATCTTCCACAACACCCAATTAGAACGCTAACATGCTTTAAAACAGATAAACCAGCAATCTCAACACTGAAAAATTGGAGAACTGTTTAAAATATGATATAAAAAAACAAAGCATTCAAATCTTTTCCTTCCTCAAATTCTTTTCTAGCACATCCAAATTCATACCTTGCTGTCTTTCATCCCAGCCAAGTGTTGGATGGCTCCAGATATTCCCACAGCAATATAAAGTTCCTGGAAGAGAACAAAAATAATACATTCTTGGTACCCTTGATACAGTTTCGGGAAGTACCACAACCCTACTCAAAAATCAGTGTCATATGGTGATTTCTAAAAAGTAGCTTTTGCTATTAAAAGCAGCACAATATGCTGATGACCAATGCAGTTGTAAGAGGAGAATCCCAAAAAACACATCTGGCAAAAGAGATGAAGGGAAAAATAAATAAATAAATAAAAGCCACGTGCATCAAACAGCGACAGCGTCTAACACACGTCCTCGTCCCGACCGCAGGGCAGGGCCCCCAGTGCTACCCGTGAGCCTGGTGATTCCCAAGACAAATATTAAGCAAGATAATCTGCAGGTGGAGGATCATTACAAGGGATAACGCAGTTGCATAAAAACGGGCTGGCTCGCCAGACGTCCCTGCCTTTTTTGCTTGAGGGCTCCAGGATCCTTTAAGCAAGTTGGGAAGTGAAGAGCTTAAACGTAGATGTTCCTGCCTTAGAAATCTGCAGTCAAGTTGTAAAACGTGCGAGGTGCTGCGGTGGCCTAGTGCAGTCTAGATGGCCCGCCGGCCACGGAGCTTCCCCTCCTGCAGGACGTCCCTGGGTCACCGCGGCAGCCCAGCGCGCAGGAGCCATCCGGCTGGAGACAGGAGCCATCCCACTGGGCGCAGGAGCCATCCCGCCGATCCCGCTGGAGACGGGGTCAGAGCCGATCCCGCCGGGCGCAGCTGCACTTGGCCCTGTGGGGCTATCAGCCTGGCATCTCCTACATTCCCACAGGTGAAAAATCCATACACAAATAAATCTGTATGGACAGCAGAAAAAGTGGCTTCCCTTGAGCTGCAAGTCACCCGCGCTATAACCCGTCCGAACCCTTCCCTTGAGTGCTATAACCCATCCAAACCCGGGCACATTTGCAGCTCTCAGTGGCTGCTGCCCTGCACACCCAGGTCCAACCTGCACTGTTCAGCTCCTGGCTTTATGGAAGGAAACCAAGGGAAAACGTCTCCCCAGCGTACTTAACAGAGAGGCGGGGCCGGTTACTTAACAGAGAGGCGGCGCTGGCAAAAGCTGAACGTGGTGGTTGCACCAGCGTTTCTCAATGCCTGGGCCTTGCTCGAGAGCACCTTTCCATGGCCTGTTTGTAGCAAGCACATCTGAAAGCAGCACTAATGCACATCTGCTTTGAGCAGTGGCAGCCTCGTCCTGGGCACGGGCTGCAGCCACAGGTTGTGGGTGGAGGGCTCATTCCCAGCCCTTCAGACTGCCACATGCTGAGGAGACTCCTGAAACTTCATGCTCTGGAGCCATGAAATAGCAGGACCCAGGCAGGAGGCACTTTGGTCAGCGTTTCCCCTCCAAAATAGAAATTTAAATTAGCTCATTAAGCGGCAATAAAAACCTCCGCATTTGGTGAGGAGCAGAACGCTGGTATTTCGGGGCTTGGGTTTCGAGCCTCGCAATGCCAAGGCCACCAGGTTTCCAACACAGCACTGCTGCGCTCACCTCCAGGCACTTCACAAGCTCTGCAACCGGCTTCTCGCCCGAGCCCTGCACTGACCCCTGAGCTTTGCTCAGGGAGGCTTTTACGGCGCTGAAAGGCTCCACGGCCCCGGCGCGCGGCTCCCGGCTCCCGTCGGCGCGCGGCTCCCGCCGGAGGGCTGCGCGTGCCGAGCGGAACGGGAGCAGCCACGTGCCAGGCTGCGAGGGCGCGACGCCCGGGACGGCACCGCCGGGGACCCCAACGGCGACGCCTGTATGGACGCGAGCTCCAACAGAACAGAGCGTCCTCCTTAAATACACCGAGGCTGGTCCACAGCTGCAAACGGACACATCTAATTCAAGGAACGATCCTGGGGGTCCAGCAGGGTAGGAGGGAGCACAAGCCCCCACGTCCGTGGCCCCGGGGAGCCGCGGGGCAGCGAGGCGGCTCCGGACAGGGCAGAGCCGGGCACAGCTGCAGAGCAGCCCGACCTGCCGCGGGGCCGGCCAAGGGGCTGCGACACAGCGAGCACGCGGCTGCTCCCTCCACCCAGGCCTGACAGTCATTATGGCAATTAAAAGAAGGAAATAAAGATTACTCTGATGTTTCTACAGCTACAGATTTTACCTATTACATTGACTTTTAAATAGGCATAGATAAATAAAATTTATGAAGCTTTTCTACACTTTTCTACAAAAGCTGTCTCCTCTCACAACTGAAGGGAAGGGAAACGGAGCAGGAACAGGGCATTTCCTATTAAAAGAGGCTTTGAAATTGATACAGTGAATCTAGTCCGTGTACTTGCACAAAACCACACAGCTGGTGGAGACTCCAAAATTTCTTAGTCCCAATTGCTTTTTGCTGAATACATTACTATTAGAGGTCAACACATTTTAACCACAGCTGCAATGTAACATAATATGTTCATATGAGAACTCATGGTAAGAATGCAATATTTTAATTATAGCAAATAAGAGAACAGATGTTACAGAAGAAATTAAAGTAACATCCCATAGTCTTTAGCATGAGCTCTTTTTAAAAATACATTACTGTAATTTGATTTTTGGAGCAATTCATTAAGTGCTAGTCATCTAGACTACCAGAGACTCTTATCACTCTGTTTAACATTTTGAAGTTCAGTCTTTGGAAAGAATCCAGGTTACCAAGAGCCAGATGCCTATGTATGTATTCTATTAAAATATCTAGGAAAGACAAAGATGTTTCATTAAAGGGACATTTATAAATTACCAGGCTGTCTAAAAGGCATTTACTCTACATTTAAAACTAACCCGCTTAGTTATTTGCTTTTGGCTAAGAGAACTGGTCTATTCAATAGACTGCTCTCCTGAGAAGCCAGGAAAGAGGAAGAACTTCTAAATCCTTTTCAAAGCAAGCCCCTTGTTTGGAAATTTTGAAAAATTGGATTTTCTCTGAATCAGTAATTTCTGTCCTGGCTTTCGCTGATGCCACCCCTCCCAGCACGCCAGCTGCAGAGCGCCGAGCCGGGATGCGGCCCCGGGCACCGCGAGGACAGCGCGGAGGCGGCGCGGGGAGCAGGAGGCGCCGGCGGCCGAGCGAGGCGACCGAGGCCTGCAAGGAGAGCCCGAGCTCTACAGGAAAGCCCAGCCGGGGCACGGCCAGGCACGGGGCAGCCTGTGCATCAA